GCCTTTAGAACTCTTGGTAGGAAAATTCGTTACAAATAGACTTCGTTTTGCTTTATATTTCGATAGTTTGATTCTTTATATTTTTGTTAATGAAACCTTGTCCTTTTCTGTTTCTTTTTCTAAAAATAAATTAATCAGTTGATTTCGAATTAAATTATAACATTGAATAATTAAGACCAATTTTTTAAAATTTCGGTATATTATATAGTTAAAGGAAATGATAAGGTAAGAAGTAGAAAGAGTAATGATATAGAGAAGAGGTGGGAACGAAATGAAGTCATTTACTTTCGTTTTGTGTTTTTTTATTTGTTCCCATAATAAATAATAACTAGCTTTTAGATTTGGTTATATAAAAGGAACTTGCATAAACTGCACTGCTTATTTTGTTACCTATTTAAAAATATCTCATAAAGGTAATATTAGTTCAAAGAAATAATATTTTTGAAATAGTTTCTAATTAACAGGCCTTCACAGAGTTGGGATTATTGTAATCAATTCAATATAATTATAAATACTGAAATAAAAAATGATATATATAAATTGAAATTCTAATTTTCATCTATTCATAATTTTATTTATCATGTCAAATCATGTCAAACTTCATCAGATAAACCTAATCATGTCAAAAATTATTTGAGTTATAATGGTAATGAAATCCATTTCAAACATTTTTTAAATTGTTGGGCGCTTTGTTAGTGGTTTCTTAGCGTTAAATTGATTTCAAATTTCATTTTTATTTCATGGCATAGGGTAAACATTTTAACGCATTGGAACTTGTCGCAGCAGGTTTCTGTAACCTATCAAAACATGTATAACTCATTAATGAAGATATTACACTTGATATCATTTTTTCAAACTCTTAGGTTTCGACTGTATTAGTCAAAGCTATAAATAAATTTAAAATCGAATTATAGGATTTCTGACTTTTTCAATTTTGCTAAAATGAGTATTGTCCCGCAAGTACAATACTCAGAAAGAATAGCTAATTTGAAAAAGTTTGATAATTCCCCAATAAGCCGTATTCCATTATAAATTCAAGGTTAATACGCGAAAATTTAGACCTTTTGCTAAAAATAAGAATTAAAAGCGATATATACTTTTGATTAATTGCCAAATGCTTTGTTTGCATTTATACTTCAACTAATTTAATTCACTAAAGGTTATTTTTCAAACTTTTCGATTTTAAAGTAACCAGAGATTAAAATTTTATTAAAGTTTGTGGTGCAGAAATATCTATTAGCTGTTGAGCAACAGCCTTATAAATTAATAGCTAAAATTTTGTTACATCTAATAAACTTTTTATGATTAATTTTAATTATCATTTCTAAAATTTCCAGAAATCCTTAAAGTTGTCTTGTTCCTTTCTTTGTTTATACCATTTATAAAGTAAAGCTCCAATACCAATAAGAATTGCAGTTCCTACAATACTACTAACAACAGAAATAGCAATATTTTTTGCTGTTAAATTCTTAGAAGGAAAATTAGAAGGGTTTGATAATATGGCTTTTGTTCAAAATGTTCAAATATATTAATCCATGTATAA